CCTGCATGGCTATAACCCTGATCTATTCACCTCAAATTTCTCAGCACTTAACCACAATTAATTTTTCCTATTGAATTATCTCACTTTTCTCTGCTTCTACCACCCAGGAGTCACCATTTCATTCATGGTGGCCTTAGGGTAACAGTTTTGGTTACTGGTTTCTCGGCCTCTTTTCTGCCTACACCAATCTAAGCTACCGGCTCACTCCAACAGGTTGGTATTCAAAACCCCTGAAGGAAAGGAGAGAGAATTGTGAAAAGAACCACTAGGTGGAGCCAGACCTGAGTTTTAGCTCTGCTTTTGCTACAGAATGATGTGACATGGCATGTAGCTTTAACATTATATGTTAAATAGAAGCAATTACCTCCTTCCACAGGGTACTAGAGGGGGGATAAATGAGAAATTCATGTGAAAATATACCCACGTTACCTAAATGTTAGATATTACAACTTTCTTTTTTCCTTCTTTCCTCTTTTTGAAATGGGGTCCTTATTGCCCAGGCTGGCCTCAAAATCTCTGGGCTCAATCAATCCTCCTGCTTCAGCCCTCTAAGTAGCTGGGTCTACAGGTGTGCACCACCATGCTTGACCCATTGTTGAGATGCAGAATATATAGGAGCAGAATGAGTAGCTATAAAGTGTCTGTCCTGGGTATCAAGCTGCATCCTGAAACTCCAGGTGATCTTGAGCAAATGTCTGTGGTTGTAAATGAAGAAGAGACCTCTAAGATCTTTTCTATCCTCAGGTTCTGTTTGATCCAGAAACCACATCTCGCCTGATGTGAGACCAATCCCCAAGGCAAAGGGGCAGAGAGTCTTCTCTGCCCTTAAAATTAAACTCAAATATCAGAGGACATGTGTGCAGTCTTTTTCTATTTGTGGAGCACTTTCGTATCCATCATTGGATTTGAAAAGGGCTTTATTAGGAAGAAATCATAGCCAAATATTAACAGCTTTTAATCTCCAGATGGTGGAATTTGGCGTATTTTAAAATTTACTTGTGTTTTAAACCTTCAAAATCTCCTTCAAGCTGGGCGCGGTGGCACAGGCTTGTAATCCCAGCTACTCAAGAGGCTTGGATATAAGGATCACAAATTCAAGGATAGCCTTAGCAACCTAGTGAGACCCTGTCTCAAAAATAAATAAATAAATAAATATTTTAAAAAAAAAAATTAAAAAGAGCTGGGGATGTAACTCAGTGACAAAATGCCCCTGGGTTCAATCCCTAATGCCCACCTCCCCCCCAAAAAAAATCCTTCAATTTAAAATCATAAAGAAATGATGGTTGCACAACATTGTTAAAGAACAAATAGCACTGAACTGTGTACTTTAGAATAGTTAATTCTATATGTGAGGCTTTGCTTCATTAGGAAAAAAACCTTCAACACACACGATTTTATAGTCATTTCTTAAAACTGTGGCTTTGAGGAGAGAGTTACAGAAGATTCCTTAGACACAAGAGCAGTTTAGGTAAGCTGACATGGACCTGCACCTCCCACCCATCCCCCAGACCCGCTTAAAGTTGCAGCCTCAAGCCAGGCCTGCAGAGCGCTCCTCCGACCACCAGGGGACTCTGCAGAGCTCCCGCGTCCTCACACACCGGCGCGCGCCGTCTCTTGCGCCTTTGAAGCGCCGTGTGCGTGAGGGGCGGGGCCGGGAGAGGAAGCTGCGCCTGCGAGACCGCCGCCCACCTGAGCCTCGCACGGTGCTCCTCCACCTTCGGTTCTGACAGACCGACCGCTCCAACTGCGTGCGAGTGTTTGAAGTCCCACCTCTCCACTCAGTCGTCATACGTTTGAGCGGGTGTCCCCACTTCCATTTCCTCACCCTTAACCACTTGTCCCTGCTACTGTGTTCCTTCGCCCTGCTCCGCCAAGGGTCCTCGGTTTTCCTCTCAGCCTCTGACCCATGGCGCTGCAGGCGCTGCACAGCTCGGGGGTGGCCTTCCGCAAGATCCTGTCTCACTTCCCCGAGGAGCTGAGCCTGGCTTTCGCCTATGGCTCCGGGGTGTACCGCCAGGCGGGTCCCAATTCAGACCAGAAGGTGAGCCCGGCACCAGAGACCGGACCTTCCCCATGTGGCTTCCCCGCGGTCCACCCCATTGCCAGGATTCTGCTTGTTCTCCCTTCGGACCCCTAGGGTGGCCTGCTGCGCACTCCAGGCGTCAATTAGGAGGATGCAAATCGTTCAGAAGTGTTCTTAGTATAACGAGAACGTGAGCTGAGTTTTGAAGGATAATTTAGGAATCCACTTGGGAGCTGCAGTTAGGTGAAGGGAAAAACTGTTGCCTAGGCACGGTGAAAGAAAGAAAAACAGTTGCTAAATTCGAATTCAGTTTTCAACCTGGATACTACGTTGGAATTTTCTAGGGAGCTTAAAAAAAAAAAAAAAAGAATTGCTGGGTTCTACCTGAGATTCCTGATTTAACTCGTCTAGAATGGGGCTGGGCTTCAGGAATTTGAAAAACGTCGCTTGATTCTCATGCGCAGCCAAGTTTGAGCTCCTATCTGCTGCTGTGGGAGAGAATACAAAATAATCCTCTGATTTCAAGGAAATTGATGAATTGTCTGTAGGGCCAGGGCAGGTACCGTGAAGGTAACTAAGGACAACAGTTAGTGGCTAGCCGGTGTATGCACTTCATGCTCAGCATATTTAACAAGTGTCTAGTGGGGATTAAACATTGTTACTCTTCAGAGTTGGCTGAGCACAACAGCAATATAATTTTCATTGTGATTTACAGAATTCAGTGTGAAAATTGCAATAGGGACTTAGATACTTGGCTGTAATTTGCCTTTTGGTTAAAGTTTGCCTATTCACTTCCTGGTGAGGCT